ACACACAAGACGCTGTATTAATTATGAAGCTGTTGGCCTTGCTTGTTTCTTACTGGCTAGCTCTGACTTAAATAATTACCCCATAATTGTTAATCTAAGTATGTCTCTTACTGGAGAATAGTTCCGGGTTCCTACCCCATGGCGTTACATCTCGAACTCTCTTGTGTTTCTCCTTCCCAGAATCCTCCTGGACTCCTAGTCCCACCTATCTAGATTCCTATTGGCCAGACAGTGCTTTATTAACATAAGACTTCCCTAACAATTTTCCAGGATAAACACAAATTACTTATTTTTATTTTTATCTATGTGTCTGTGTGAGAGTGTTTGCTTGTGAGTGTGGGTATCTGTGAAAGCCTGAAGAGAGCACTGGATGGCGTAGAGCTTGCATTCTCAGTGATTGTGAATCACTCAATAACATGGATACAGGAGCCAATCTGTGATCCTCCACAAGAACAGCCAATGCTTTTAATTGCAGAGTCATCTCTCCAGCCCCTCAATTAGTTTATAAAATAGTTTACCCTGGTGTCTTCCTGCATATCTGTAATTCCAGCAGCTCAGGAGGAGAGTCTTGGCTGAACCATGTTAGTATGTAAATAAAGCTAAGGACAGCTAATAGCCACTGTAACCCAAATCAATGAACAAGGAGAGGACAACAGTGATGGCAGGTCAGACGTGACAATTGAAAACATCATCCTTATTCTGTTGGGGGGTTCCAAAGGAAACTGGACTAGTGAAACAGATACACAGAGAGAAAAGGGTCCCCAAAAGAGGGAGGGAATAATCAAAGAATCAAACAATTTAGGGAAGTATGGTTAAATCTGCAGTGCTTTCTGCAGGTTCCTCTTTTGAATACTTATTTCCCAGGTGGTGGTACACACACACACACACACACACACACACACACACACACACACACACACCTACACACACATGGGAAAGGGGAGAGAGTTATTAGAGTTGCTACACTTACAGGCTGTGGTCTGGGTAGTCCCATACTAGCTGTCTTATGGTAGAAAGTGTTTGTTCAGTCCCTGAGACTGGTTGCTGGATGTCTCAACAGTCCCATTCTAGGTCTAGAGTCCAGGAGAATTCCTGGAGGGCTGCTAGTCTTCTGTCTGTGCTGGCATTCCAAAGAACCTGGTTCTAATACCAGCAAAGAGATGCCTTGTTAACAAGACAGATGAAGTTGCCAGTGTCAGTGAGAGCAATAGGCAGAAAGCAAAAAACCTCCTTCCATATTCCTTTATATGTGTTGTCACCAGCATGTGGGGCTGATATTTGAAGCTCCCCACCTTAATCCTCACAGGCATGCCCAAGCTGATTGGGTTTGACTCTGAATACAGTGATTTTGACATTGAAGATTACCCATCAGATTAGCAAATGAGAGAAAGGACATACTGTCCCAAGGTAAATTGAAGGGATGAGAAGAATGGAGAGGGAGATATTAACTCAGAAAGAGTGCTAAGGATGTATTTTCCTCCTGAGATAGGAACATGGTATCAGGTAGGTCTAGAAGAGACAAGAAACAATGGTAACCCTCACATGAAGTTAACCATCACACAAGTAGGAACTTAGATGGACTAGATAGGCAGACTTGATCAAGAAAGCTTCTTTAAAGCACAGTTTTTATAAAGAGTTTGAAAACCAATAGCAAAGTAAGCTTTTAGGATTGTTATGAGAACTGTTATAGATTCACTCAAGTACTTGCCGTGGTGGGTTGCCGGCATGCCTCATGAGAACCGGGCCTTAATTCTAGAGCCCTGCTCCAACAGTAATGGGCTAGAGCTCATTCTCTACTTCTCAAAAGGCATAGTGGCATTTACTTCTCCAGGAATTCAACTGCATCTGTTAAACTGGTATATCTGCTGACACCTGTGTACATTCTAGAATTTTCTACATTGTTGTGGAAGAACAGCTCTAGCTGGAAACAGTTCACTCTTAATGGTTTCATGGCAACAGATGGCAGAAGCTCATGGAGAACTACAATACAGACATTGATTTATCTCAGCTCCCAAGAGAATGGTTCCTATGTATGGTCTTATCACAGACTTCGAGTGTGATGCAAAGAGATAGTAGAAATTATGGAAGCCTGGGAAATTGTTTCATTGTGTTTATAATTCCCTCTATAGATGTTGTGCCCACAGGTAAACTTAAACACCTGTATTGACAAGCTCATAACTGTTGTAACAGCAAATGGAAACTGATAGGAACAGGCACTGAGATTAGGTTTGCTCGCTCTGCTCCTGCAATCTTACCTTATCATGTTTGAACTTTCAGCCTGGAAATAGTTTCCAAGAGCTGTAGATTCTCCACAAACATCTTTTATCTCAATACTTCAGTGAAGATTTCAAGATACCCCAAAAGTTGGCCCAGGATAATTTTGGTGCCAGGATGATGTTGGTATCTAAAATGGTCTCCTAGTAGAAGAAAACTGGTAATCTCAGTGAAAACGATGTTTTTTTCCTGTATTTATTTATTTTTCTGTCACTGCCATTGATTATTTAGCAAGATACTTTCTCTTTGCTTTTTAAGATTATAATATAATTACATCATTTCTCTCTTCCCTTTTCTCCCTCCAATCCCTTTCATATTCTCTTCCTTTTTCAAATTCATGACTTATTTTTCATTAATTAATTACATACATAAATGTACACACATAGATTTATCTATTTCAAAGAGTATAACTGCAACCTGCTTAGTCTGTATCATGTTACTTGCATGCATATTTTCAGGGATGACCATTTGGTATTAGATAACCAGTTGGTATGATCCTCACTGATGAAGGCTATTACTCTCATGCTCAGCATTGCTTAGTTGCCTGTAGTTATCTGTGCCAGATTGAGGCCTCCTGGTCTTTCCTCTGCCTACTTTGGCATGCTTATTGGTGTTGTCCTTAGTCAGCCTATGGTAGGCAGTCATGGTGGTGAGACTTTATGGTTGTAGCTTCTAACATTATTAGTAGCACAGTCTCATAGCAAACTTGTCGATGCTTTGACTCTTTTTACCTCCTCTTCCTCAATGTTCTCTGAGCCTTAGTTTTAGGAGTTGTTCTGTAGATGGATCCATTAGAACTTGGCTATACAACTCTGCATTTTAATTGGTTGTGGTTTTCTGAAGTGATATCCATCTGTTGCAAAAGAAAATTACATGGTGATGGATTAATAAGAGTATTGACATCATGGTTTTTCTCAGATACTGTTCAAAAAATTAATAGAAGATTGATTTTTATTCTTCATTTAGTCCATTAAGTGGGAGCAAGACAGCCATGGGAACAGCAGTGTTGGTGAGGGAGTCACTGTACAGGACTAGAAAGCCATTCTTTGAACTTCTCCAGAGTCTACCTGCACCACTCAAACTGAAGCCTCAGGGATTTCTTTTACTAAGAAAATTAAATAGTAAATCAAGCCTATATTCCTATTCTAATTATAGACTCTATTTTTTGTATTTATTTTGGGTTTAATTCATTCCACACCATTATATATCTGGTTTGTATTTTTTTCTTTCATGTAGACATATTTTTCATCCATTGCATATGTTTCTTAAAGACGACAGATGTGGCCTTTGTTTTTAGTATGCCATTGTTTTAGTTAGGGTTTCTATTGCTGTGAAGAGACACTGTGACCATGACAACTCCTATAAAGAAAAACATTTAATTGGGCGGTTTTAAGTTCAGAGATTTAGTCCGTTATCATGGTGGGATATGGCAGTGTGCAGACAGACATGGTGCTGGAGAAGGAGCTGAGAATTCTGCATCTTTGATTCATAGACAACAGGAAGTGAACTGAAACACTGGGTGTGGCTTGAGAATACATGAGACCTCAAAACCCACCTTCACAGTGCCATACTTCCTCTAACAAAGCCATACTTAGTCTAACAAAGCCATCTCTCCTAATAGTGATACTCCCTATGATCTCATAAGGGACAATTACATTCAAACTCCCAAAGGCACCCTACCTCCAGTGTTCAGTGAGGCTCAAGGTACCTGGTCAGAACTGAATAATTATTTACAGTTGAGTCACTCACATTGTGTGGGGCAGATTCCTGATCCTTGAGGACTCAAGGTATCAAATATATTAGACTGCTTCAAATGCACTGAAGGCATTCAGATCTTGTCAAGCCTGAGTAGGACACAAAGTTAATGGCTTTTGCTCTTAACAGGAATGTTCAGCTGGGACTACCATGCTTCCTAGAAAGCCATTTAGGGTTAATAACAGCACCATCCACTTTTATGTAGCTCTTTGCAATTTGGAATGTAGTTAATAGCACATTACTCATTTTAGTGTCACCAAACCCTGCATACTGGTCAGGGAAAAGCCCCTTTTCCAACAAGAAAATTGGAGTGCACAGAGATAAGGACTATGTATAACTTCACAAAATTGGTGAGTGGCAGATCTGATGCTGGGACCCACCCTTTCTTCGTCCAAAAGCAGTGTGTTTTCTTCAGTCTACACAACTCTTAGTAGATTTTTCTTACTTTTAACATAATAAAATGCTCTGTGATGAGGAATATGTATAGATATTGCCCTTTAAGAGATGTAGAAACAGCTTAGTGCAAAGTATTTCAGGTTTGTTTTTGCAATTTTATCCAGTTTCTTCTCTAAGAATCCTCTCAGAGCATGAGAAAGGGAACAGAATGAGAACTGGGACAAGAAGTCTTCATCTGCAGTCAAAAGAAAGGGTTAAAAAATATGACGTTTTAAAGGCTTAAAGTGGCGAAGAAACTTCAGAATACCTAAACGCAAAAACAAAAACAGAAAAGAAAAAAGAAAAGGAAAGAAAGAAAATTCCCACCTAAAGGGTGTTTGTCCATCCTCCCTAAACCTTTTTTAGTACCTCTGGAAAAGTCAGTGGGTGTGTTTCTGGGGGAAGGGTAGGGAGGGGAGGATCAGACTCCTATTTGGCTTTCTTAAAAAAAAAAAAAAAGAAGAAAGAAAAGAAAAACCAAACACACACCCAACAGAAAGAAATAAAAGTTTGTCTCTCTTTGGCTCCATCTGCGCTTAAAGTCTACAAGAAGTAAGTGAAATCCCAAGTTGCAGAAGCGCGCGCTCTGATTTGGTTGTTTACCATCAATCAGACGGTTGCTTGGCAGACACTGGATGGTTATGAGCCTGAACAAGCTGAAAGGGGCAGGAAAAGAAGTGGAGGCAGCATTCTTCCTATTTAAAGCTGCATCGCTTGAAAAAAGTTTTCGCAGACTGTGCCGGAGCTGGTGCTGAAACAGGCTGAGGCGGCCTGGGGGCTGGTGCTGAAAAAGAGCCCTCAGCGGAATCCATGGTGCTACAGTGACCTCAGTATCTACTCTTCGTTCCCAGGACCCACATGTCTCATATTTAGACGTGATGGCAAACTGGGTGGTAGCAAGACCTCTCCTCATTCTCACTGTTTTATTAGGGCACTGTGTCTCAATAAAAGCCCAGGAACAAGAGAATGGTGAGTTCGCTTTTTGCTTTGCTTATGGTGTTTATGGCTTGGTTTGGGACTAGATGGAATGTTAAGCTGCTGGAAGAGTGTGAAGAGGAGACTATTTGAAGTTTGAGGAGGGGGCTGTGGGACTTGTACCTGGGAAACAGCTTAACTCTGGAGCTTCTGTGTCTGTCCTGGCAGAGTGGGCTTCTGCCGTCCAGGAAGAGCCAGGATCAGACCAGTCTTTTTGCCTGAATGTAAGAGCAGGACTTTTAAAAGAAAAGAAGAGTGCTTAAAACGGAGCCCCGAAGGCACTTTTAGTCGGAGTCAGTTGTGTGGGCTGGCGCTTTCCGAGCAGGGAGAGCCTCTGCAGAAGCTGGGCAGGGTGGAGTCGTTCCTGTGCGAACTTCAGCTGCTTCATGAAAGTCTTTGTTTAGAGAAACCTCTGCTGCAACTCTGATAGCTCGGAATTTCCTTTGTCTTTGCTCTTCATTCCTCTTTCCCCACAGCCTCAATCCTCCCCTCCCAACGTTTTCATCTGTGATCTTAAAATCGTGTTTGCTTACTGAGAGAGAGTCAAGTTTATTTCTCCATGACAGGGGCTGATAGAAGCCAGATTTCTTAAACTGCGGTATTTTCCCACCCTACTGACTTGGTTATCGGGACAGTGTGGTTCCTAGGGGGTGGGGGGAAGGATGGCTGAAGGCAGGAAATCAGCACGCCTTAACTAATTAGGCATGGAGTATTGATAAGGACATTTCTCTTAGATCCTTGCTTCCTTCCTTCTTTCTTCCCTCCCTCTCTCCCTCCCTCTCTCCTTCTGCTCATCCTTTTTCCTTTTCCTTCCTTTTAAGGCATATCTTGCTTGGGTTATATTGTTAAGCAAAATGACATGGCTGCTATAGAATACTACAAAAAGCAAAGCAAACAACGAGAGCAACGAAAAGCGCCTGGCTCCTGATTCATTTAAGCAAAGTTAAATCCTTAACTTTTGAGGGCTGAAACACCAGCCACAGACATGTTCTCATTTGCAATAGGCCGGCAGAGATCTGAGTCATCACTAGTACTGAACTCAAGCTTCTAACTTAGCACATGTGTTAATCATGTCTGTCTCTGTCTTTCTCATGTGTGTAGCAACCCGTTTCTATACATTTGTCTCCTGCATCCCTGTTTATTTCCTCTAAAAATGTTTAGAAACTGCGTTTGGCAGCTATATATTCTAGAAAAGTATAAGGAGGGAAAACAAAATTCTGGAGATGAATTTCAAGTCTGTTGTAGTCCCATAGAGGGGGCCCTTTTCTAAAATCTTGGAACTTTTTAAGTCAGTTTCTATGTTTCAAAGAGTGAGGGGATTTATACAGGGTGAAACTTATCACATTTCTTCATAATTCCTAAAGGACAGAGAAGTTAGGAATGAGTACAAAAAAAGCAGTAAAATGTCTATTATCAGGAGTCTGCTCACTCCCCTCACCCACCAGGGACTTATGTTAAAATGTTTGTGCAGACTTCATTCCCAACTTATATTAAAATTATGTGATTAATTTTTGCAAAGTATGGACATAATTGAATATGTGTGTTAGTGAAAGATGTAAGATGTTGAAAAGTCTTGAAGGGTAGGCCATATGCTAAAAACCACTTCTAAGTCATTCCATTTATTCTGTAGATATTACTGAAAACTAAGGGGTTTATCTTTCTCTACCATTCATTTACATAAATTAAGAATATAAGGTTGGTTCAAAAGAAGCTCTGCCTCTGAACCAACCTCTTTTACCCTAGTGTCATTAAATAGAAAAGAAACTCAAACCCCAATTTACAGAGAAAGTAAATTCTCTCATAGACATTGTGTATAGTAATTAAAATAGATGTGATAAAAATTAATTGCAGAAAAGTGTGTGTCTAAGTAAGGATAATATTTACAACTCAGCAATCTAGTGTATGCAAAGCCATTTAACTTACACTCGACTCATTTCCCTGCATACTTGGGTGTGCACTGATACTGTGTGAACACTTGTTATACTTCATTTCTCCTGTTAGAACCTGGTAGTTCCACATTATTTTTGTTTTACTTGAGGAACAGTACATATGGGGGATGCTGTTATATTAAAGAAAAGCCTAAGACTTGCATGTCAAGAACATAAAAATTTCAAATTGTTGTTATAAATGGCACTGATAGTGGTAATTCCTTTGTGTTCCCTTGAATATGTGTTATAGAAAGCTGGCATTGTATGGACGTATATATTTATAAGCTTAGCCTGTTCTTCCATCTTTTGTTAGTATAAAGTATAGCTCTCTCTCTCTCTCTCTCTCTCTCTCTCTTTCTCTCTCTCTCTTTCTTTCTTTTAACTGTGGACCATGAAACACAAGCACAGTGCCAGCCTGATGGAAATACATATTGATGCTAAGATATAGTAAATAAAGTTTTAGACATTTGTGGCCAAAACAGAACTACCTCACTCAACTTTAAAGATTGATTTGGATTTTAAAAGTTTGTTAGAAACTAAAAAGAAAGAGTTTGGGAGTTAGACTAACTTTAGTTGAAAGTATAATGTAGCCAAGATGAGAAAATCAGCTTTGCAAGATCTCCCCCACCACCAAACACTCCCTCTGGTGTGTATGGTGTAGGGAGGCTTTGGAATGTTCTACATTTGTTTTTTGTAAGAGAAAAAATACTAGGCCACTTTATTTCCAAATCAAAATGTAACATCTAGGGAAGGATGCACATTTTTGTTATTAGCACCAGGCATACTTAATCTTAGGGAATAGTCTTCCCTAAGAATATTTATTGACTTGAATCATTTTATTCAACACTGCATGAGTGATGGAGAGGAGGCTCAGAAGGGAGTACATCCTGTGAACTTCAGTGCTTCCAGAAGCTAAGCTTGTAACATAAACAGTGATGCAATAGTTTTGTGTATTAGCAGGGTTGATGGGACTTGTGGAGAACTGAAGACACAAATATGCCCATTTTAATCATTCCAAATTAACATTTTTTTCAGGAAGCATTTCATGAGCCACATCTAATATGTCCAATGGCCAAATGTGGCTCATGGACTATGAACTGTCAGTACCCATGCTACAACCCTACACTGAAACTTGATTCCAAGCCAGCTTCAAATAGCAAGAGAAAAAGTGCATATAGGGTTTTTAAAAAAATATTGGGATCTCTTGCATTTTTTTGTGATGTTATACCTGTGATTTATCTTGTAAGAATGCAGACAGGAAGCATTAGATGCGTGAGAGTTAGCCATGCTTGGATGATGTCATTTCAAACGAGGCGCAAAGAAACAGGATGAATATATCACTTAATATATTCACATTTATAAGTTGTTCTACGCTCACTACTATTGAAATGATTTTATTTTAGAGTGCTTCATATGTTAGAATACAGTTTCAATCAAGAAAAATATAACAGAAGCCTTTTCCTTATGTTAAAGAAGATCTCAAGTAGAGTGATGAGCTGGTGATTGAAAAGAGCTGGAGACTCAAACTTTTTCTCTCTGTGTTCTTTCATCCCTAGAGCATAGTCTTTGATTTTACAGTCCTTGGTGACTGCTTGAGATCTGGCTATTGCATGTAGTTTCCTAGTCATCTGGACAGAGAATGAGAAAGCTGTGACTCTGCATTTCTTAAATGGAATCTTCTCTCTCTTCAAAACATTTAAACTTACTTATGCTTGGATGGAGTTTCATCATACAGTCACACAAAGATGCAAGAATGGGTAGGAAAATGTTTATTTTTTAGGTGGACGATGGTTCTGTGATGCTCTACTATTGAGGACACTAGAAAGAATTTTGAGTGATATACTCTGGTGACTGTTTATTTCCGAGCAGAGTGGAAAGCCAAGAACACAACAGAGATGTGTGTGCATGTGTAATAAATATTTAATTATTATCTAGACAACAGTGAAGTGTCACTCTGAATACTTATCTCTCTCTGCATGGGAGGTTAGGGAATCCATTATATTGACTAGTGCAGTGTGCTTCCTCCATGATTTAGTATTGCATAAAGGGTTGCCTGAAGATCTTGGTATTGATACAGCTTTCAGGTCTTATCCTTTTTAAATGTATATGGTAAGCTTGGATGTGCTATGAGAATCAGACCTTTGTGGGTGAGCTCTGTTCACACTGGTAAAGCACTACACTGTGTCTTTGAACAGACTTCTTCTGATACAGAGGATGTGGCTTCTATGCACCAAAGTAGAAATTCTGGGACCTTCGGTTTGTTAGTGATTCATTTTACTCATGAGGCTGACTGAAGTTTGCTGGTAAACCTTTACAAATTTGATATCATTTGATGAAAAGATAATCCAAAGCCTAACACATGGTATTAGGTAAATAATTCGGCTTTACAGAAGACATGCGTAATTCCGATATATTTCCAGGAAGTTGAGTTCATCTCCCATCCCTCCTATCCCTATTTTTCATACATTCAACACTATTACCTCAAGCCTGGAATTGATTATGGTGACCATCCCAAACATGCATTCAGTTCAAGATGGGAAACTAAATCAGGAAGAGGAGGTTCTGTCTTGAGGAGACTGGAATTATGCTAACCTGATATGGCAGTATGGAATCATTTTAATCATACAATTTGTTCCATGTCAAGGATAAATCATGTGTCTTTGGCCTCATGAGGCATATGTTAGTGTTGGATTGGGAACATTTTAACCTAATGTTTTTTGACTCTGCGATCACAACATTGAGAAGTGTATATATACATATGAGAGATACAGTAATGTTAAGAGGAAAAGATTAAAATTGTTACTAAGTAATCTATCATCTAAATTTGGGTAGGTTGTACAAGGTTATAAAAACAAAATTTATCCTAGAGGTAATTAACATTCTTGTATGCATTATTCTCAGTGATTTATTTCTGGATACTTGGATATGACATGAGATATTATCAATTTACTGAAAATTTGCGTTTTTTAAAACTTTTTTTCCATGAGTGTATATACATGTTCATGTGTGTATACTTGGTTTTAGATATCATGCGTGTGGAGGCTGTAAACTGACATTAGATGTCTT